AACCAAAGTAATATTTTCCAACTTCCTTTTTGCTTACAACTTTTGCATTCCAATCATCAGTAATTATCAATGCATTTTGACTGCATGTTTAATCAATTTCAGTCTGAAGAAGTTGGTAGAATTCATTTCATCATCACTGGCTTTAGTGGTTGGTAGATATATTTGAATAACAGTGGTATTAATTGACCCTCCTTGTGTTTGGATATTAAACTATCACAGACAGCATTGTACTTTAAGATGGATATATGTGTACACACACACACACACACACACATATATACTTTAAAACAAAAAACAGTTGCTATAATAAAGACTCCAAAAAACAGATTTTTAAATAAATCAGAAGTTTATTTAAAGTAACAGATCAGAGGTCCACAAATCTCTACATTTTCAACACCTGATTTCACTCATCCACTGGCATCCCAGTCATTGAAGGGAAATGTCTAGTGGCATGTACCCTAAATCTGGAAGTTTTCCTCATATCCCATTGCCTAAAGCCTAGTCAAGTGGCCACAATGAACTGAATAGAGATCAAGAAGTCTTAGCTGAGCAATCTTGTATCCAAGAAAACAGAATTTTACTAGTAAAAGGAGAAAGTAAAACAGACATTATAGCCCCATTTATTGATGCCTGTAAATGCAAATAAATAACCTATAAGAATGCACACCAAATATCATTTACTTCTGGAATAGGACTGAGATCGGTGTAGGAAGACAGAACACTGTCTGAAATGTATTTCAGTGATGATATGTTTATAAATTAAGGAATTAGAAAATCTTCTATGTAACTTACTTGGAGTTTAATACTGATAGAGATACATTAAACCATCTACATTTTAAGAAACTTTCATAATTTCGAATCAGATTTTATCTAAATGTGTATGTTATACAAAGTCACAAAAAGTCCTTTAATCAGCGAGGCATGACAACAATGTTTATAGATATCGATAAGGAAACAGGTACAACAGTGACCTACTCCAGGTCATGGCAGAGCCCAGTCATGAGCTGTGATGAGGACCTCCTTGCTTTTGCTGCATCATAACTTTTGATATATTTTTTTGTTTACTAAAAAGGTGGCTGTAAGTTTTCTATAATTTAGATTTCAGATAATACAGAATTGATGATGCCAGAGTATTAGCTGACTATGACGTGCAAACCCTTTTCAGCAGTGAAACTGACCAGCACACTTCACTCCAAGAACAAGAGAGTAACATTTTCTTATAGGCTGACGATCACAACAAGAAAGAAAGTCCCAGAAACAAAATAGTCATTATTTTTGACTCACCCCTAGCAAAGCATTCACATTCATGATTTACTGACTTGTTAAAATATTGCTTCCATTAAAAGAATCTTGACCA